ATCTCCCCCTGCTCTCTTCTCTGCTGTCCATCCCCCAGGGAGGAGGCCATACATAGATTCTTGTAATCGGTTCCCGCCCTTTGGGTCTTAACTGGTTGATTATTCAAGCATGGTGAGTTCCATTCCAGATCTGAAGGGCAAGTCAAGGGGTTCCCACCAGTGTCAATCCAAACACTCAGCCTGGTCTCTCCAGTGATTTCAAGTTGCGTTGGCACTGGTAGGCAGGCCCCATCTACTTCTGGTCGAACAGTTGTAGAGACTGATGTGTGGGTGGTGCCTGAGACCACGAGACTAATTATTTCCACGTGTCTTTGGATTTTCATCACTCTTCTTTCCTCTGGACAAGGAGAGCCAATAGTTAACACTTGTATCACCTGGTCATGAGGTCAGTCCCTACTCACCAAATTTGGATGTACAACAAGGTCTTATGTGAACTATGTTGCCCTTGATGTCCCCTGAGGTTATGATCCAGATTTCCCAGGCTCAGTGAGTTCTTTAAAAAATGCCTGTAGGGTTTAAGCAGCAGTCCCTCCTTGGTGTCTGATGTAGGTGGGATTATTATTTTTTCTTTGAATTTCTAGATTTATTTTTTTATGATCCCTAATGCTTTTTCATAATTGATGCTCTTTATTTCATGAGGTGGCATCCTCCACTATTCTTCTAGAGCAGTGGTTCTCAAACTTCCTAATGCTGCGACCCTATAATACAGTTCCTCATGTTGTGGTCACCCCTCAACCATAAAATTATTTTCATTGCTACTTCATACCTTTAATGTTGCTACTGTTATGAATTGGATGACCCTTATGAAAGGATCGTTCAAACCCCAAAAGGATATCTACCCACAGGTTGAGAACCGCTGTTCTAAAGGGATTAACTGGGTAGGGTTTTTTCTTCTCTATTGAAATACCCTTTGGCTCCATTAGGGTTAAAATGTAATCTACTATCATCAAATTGATTCTAACTTACACTGTTCTCTATAGACCAGAATAGAATTGCCCCTTTGGTTTTCTATGGCTTTCAATCTTTCCAAGAACAGACAGCCTCTTCTGACTCTTCAGGAGCCTCTGGTGGGTCTGAACTGCTGATCATACAGTTAGCAGCTCAATGCATAACCTATGACACCAGGGAAACTCCCACTAGAGTCCGGCCCTTGAATGTTGTTTGCACTGTCTTCTAATTTTGGCATTGAGTTACTGATGTCATGGGCCCTGAGTTAGTTAATTGTGCCAGCCTGGCCGATAATCACATGTGGGTCTGGTTGAAAGGCGGAGGGATAAATGGGTGGTGAAGCCTCGCCTTTCTAGTTCTCGGGTCTCTTGTTTTGTGATGGTTGCA